TGTGTGTGTGTGTGTGTGTGTGTGTGTGTGTGTGTGTGTTTGTGGTTGTGCGTGTCTGTGTCTGTGTGTCTGTGTCTGTGTCTGTGTCTGTGTCTGTGTGTGTGTGTGCGTTTGTGTCTGTGTCTGTGTCTGTGTCTGTGTGTGTGTCTGTGTGTCCCTGTGTGTGTGTGTGTCTGCGTTTGTCTGTGTGTGTGAGTGTGTCTGTGTGTGTCTGTGTGCTGTGTCTGGGTTTGTTTGGGCTTGTCTGCGTGTCTGCGTGACTTCGTGTTTGTGTGTCTGTGTGTGACAGTGTCTCTGTGTCTCTGTGTCTCTGTGTCTCTGTGTCTCTGTGTGTGCGTGTCTGTGTGCCTCTGTGTCTCTATGACTGTGTGTCTCTGTCTCTGTCTCTGTGTGTGTCTGTGTGTCTGTTTCTCTGTCTGTCTCTGTGTGTCTCTGTGTGCCTCCGTCTCTCTGTGTGTCTTTGTGCTTCTGTGTCTCTGTGCGTGCTCTGTGTGTGTGTCTCTGTGGTGTGTGTGTGTGTGTGTGTCTTTGTGTGTTTGTTTCTCTGTGTGTTTCTGTATCTCTGTGTCTCAGTGTGTCTCTGTGTGTTTGTGTCTCTGTGTGTCTGTGTCTCTGTGTCGCTGTGTCTTTGTGTCTGTGTGTCCCTGTGTCTCTCTGTGTGTGTGTCTGTGTTTGTGTGTCTCTGTGTTTCCGTGACTCTGTGTCTCTGTATCTGTGTCGGTGTGTGTGTGTGTGTGTGTGCGTGCGTGCGTGTTTGTTTGAGTGACCTTGTTTACCCTATTTGCGGGTCTCGCAATGTTCGCACATGCAGATTTCTAGATGGCCCCTCCTTTTCTGAGGGTACCCGTTTTGGACAATTCGTGTGAAAGGGACGCCACAAGGACACCCAAGCCCATGTTGTGTTTTTTTTGGGGGGACTAACCCTCATGGGTCAGATCCCACGGAGCGCGACCGTTTCGGTGTTCGCTCGGACCGAGGCCAAGTTCTGGAACAGCCAACTGATCTCCATCGCGCGGCAGCTGCACGTTCAGGCCAGAGGGCTGACATGTCTGGGGCCTCCAAGAGGATGTTCGCCTTGGTGGTAGGCTGAATGCTAGAACAGGAGTCTGAACATGTTTGTTTCTGCGTTCCCCAGATGCGGGCTAAGATTTGATCTTCTTTCGGCTGCCGTGCACTCTTTGATCACTGTCTGCTCTTGGGATCTGTCGTTTTGATGGGCTTCGAGCGGTTCCACCTGTTGATTAAGGGGCAAAACGAGGAAAACAACTGATGAAGGTCCTTTACTTGGAGGTCCAATTCCTATTTATGGACTATCGGATAATTTGATGGGATCGCAATCACATCGCTTGGGGACAAATCACGTTGTGAAGTGAATCGAGGAAAAGGGGGTGGTCGAAAGGCAAAGGGAGACCAAAGGAAGGACAAACCGATAGCAGGAACTCAATCTCAATCGGAAGCCGGGGCCATGTTGGGGTTGATTTAACGCCACCCCTTTTGAGTCATTCCCCAAACGCTCCAGCTTTCTCAATTGCAGCCAAAGCGAAATGAAGAATTAAGTGTTTGCCATATCCATATTGCTGGTCCACATGATCGGCATGTCTTGTTCGTCCACATGGTTGGAGTTTTTGGGAAGGACCTTCCACCAACTCTCTTTCCAGAGTGTTTTTTAGGGAATGAGAGTTAAGGTCGGATTGTCCAACATAAACCTCCCCCGGTCCGGCCAAGAACTCGCGCCTGCGCAGCTTGTTGTTCACGGAACACTGTGAGGAACTCTTCCATGGCCGTAACCAATGAGTCTGCGTCTTGTTTCAGGTTGGACCCCAAAATGGCTGGTTTTCCTTTTGGCCGCCCTTTAAACAGCACTGAAAAGCGTACACACCCAAATCTCATATGGAATGAATCCTCGCTGCTGCAGCCCTTCGTCTTACATTGTGCAGGCTGTCCTACTGTGGATGGACGAATTCCTGCACCACATTGAAACCATGCGACACCATTGTTTATTGGTATTTACAGGGGACATCGCCATGCCAGGATTTGTCAGGTGGTGCGAAATGGATTTCGTCCACAGTATGGGGAACGGAGAGCCCTCAAGATGGGTAGTGTTGGTTTCCGAAGTTCCCTTGATCATCCAAAAACCAGATGCACCCAAAAGGACCGTTTCTCATGGACAAGCTCTGTGAGTCACAATCAAAACGGTAATGGTGGAACTTGATTAGTAAACCCCCCCCCCCCCTCAAGATCGACAAGGTTCGGGGAAGCCGGATTTCGGGGTCCCTGGACCTCCCTTAGATTGATCCGGACCTGTCCAGTCCTCTCCGGTCAAGTCCTGTGCGGACCCCTGTCTTGCCAATATTACTGCAATAGGAGATAAGTAGAAAGTTTTCTGATTCTCCCGGGCTGGAGGGGGGACTTGATTAATCAGGGGGGGTTGTGCTGCTTCCGGCTAGCCTTTTTTTGTTTTAAACATTTTTGGAATGGCAGCCCTGAAACCTCTGAAATGAGTTAGCATTGGCAAATCTATTGGCAATAGCTTTGGTGATTTGAAATGTATGTTGTTGGTTTTGCTTTCTGAATTTTGGGCTGGAAAGGGGCGTCTTTAATCAGACGGGAATTAGGGGAGGTGCCCCAAACAAATCGAGAGGTTTTTTAGTAAGACCCCTTCAGTACCAGCTTTTGATTTTGACAGAAGTGAGCATTTTGCGGGTTCTCAACCCCCCTAGGGCAAGCTTGGGGATGTTGGCTAAAATGCTGGGCCCTTTGACACGATCCAAATCCGCTCCAGTTGATGTCTGACCCAGATCTTCGAGGTCGGACGCGGCAGGGTCGAGGGATATGTCGAAGGTCACGGATCAATTGAAGGCTGTTCAAGGGCATGCCAGGGTCATGGTGGTACAAAACTCACACGCATTAGTTGGGATTGATGATACCTTGTGATTACTGGGATATCATGGAACAAGCATCTGTGTGATTAAATGGTTCATGTTGTGTGCGCTTTGCAGCACAATCGTACCCAATAAGCTATGTGCTGATGCCCTGTGCTGATGCCCTGTGCTGATGCACTCTCAGTTTCTTTCGCTGATGCGGTTCATCGCATTGCGTCACTGTCGTGTCCAACCAGGCTTTTTTGATGCCTAAGTGGCTCTTGCTCTTCAGAAAAAAGTGTTTTGGAATGATGCCTGCCACGTGTTGCTTTGGTGCCTCCCAATTTGGGGCAGTCCATTTCGAGGTGCTGGCAAGCTGCTGTCCGTGGTGGGCACTGGTCTGTGGGAGCGGGAGGCCGGATGCAGACTGGGGTGTTTTGCATGTGCGTTTGTCTAAAAAAAATAAAGAACAGCACACACAAGTTGATTCTTTGGGTTTTCCTGAAAAAAACACATGATTTCCCCCCAACAAGGACACCCGACATGGAACCCCAAAAAATGCATTGTCCTTGTCTCTTGAACTCGTCAGGTGCCACAACAGCTCTTGAGATGCCAAAGCAGCCCAAAATCCTGTGAGACTTTCGAACTCTCCAATGTCCGTTGCGGAGGCCTTTTTTTTGAGGGATCTTCGGAAAGGACAGGCCTTTTGGACCTAGAGGTGGTGCAGAGGTTAGCTTGTTCGGGCAGTCTTACTTTGGGATTTATCAAAATGGATTTAGGCAACCAACCCTCTACTCCAAGAGCCTTTGAACATAAAGGATGCAAACAAAAAGCTGGTTAAACCTCATTGTTTTGTGTAAAGAACCTTTAAGAAACAAGTTCTTGAAGTAGAGGGAGCCATTTCTCTAGAAAACGGTTTGGATGTGGCTTTTGTGGATGCGCCTACAGGTAGAATATTAAAAGAGTGCTGAAAGATTGTTAAAAAAGGACTAGGGGGAAGAACTGGTGAAATTCAAATTGTCTAGAATTTCGGGGGGGACTACTGGTTTGAGAAGCACCAACCTAAGCGCCATTGGTGACAAATGCCAAAGCAAACCTCGGCGTCGCAACAACACTGGGTCTTCGCCATATTATGCGGGGCTCGTCTTTTTTGAGGTGCCCTTGTTTGGTGGCTTTAAGGGGAAAACAACTGGAAAACCACCCAAATGCGGCCCGTTATTTAAAAAAAAAAAGCATTCCATCAGATGGCAACAGTTTCCCTTGGTTAAACCCCATTTGTCGACACAGCACTGTGGCATTTCAAGGCATGTTTGTTGTGCCAGAAACATGTCACCTATAAGCATGTGATTCCCATTTTGGTCTCCCTTGCAACAATACAGAGGAAACACCCGCCGTGTGATTGCCCTGCTTTAAAGATCAGCCCTTTGTTTATACAACCCACCATGTGTTTGTTGTGAATGTCACCAGGCCGGCATCCAGTTTCTGGGTTTGCGGTTGTAGAAAAGGTTCACCGCGTTTGCCTACCAAACAAAATCAGAAGCGACCCGACAAAAATGGGCGGTTCTCATGTTTGTTTCCCTTCTAAAACCACAAAAAGGGGGGTACCCAACTGTCACTTTGGGAGGGTTCGTGTGCAACTCTCACTTTGAAAGGTCCAGGAAGATTGAGGGACCCTCTTTGGTCCATGAAGCAGCCACAAGGGGTCCCCCAAAAAATAAGCTGTTGAATCTATGTTTTCCGGTTCCCCGAAAGTAGGGGCATGGTTAGCCATCCTCGAAAAACGGGCGCCCTCAAAATCAAACAAGTGGGTTTTGTCAATGTGAGGTACACTCCTGCGCATTGAAAGGGAACCCAAAGGGGTTCGATTCCCGAGGTTCCATATTTCTGAACAAACCACCACCCCACAGCTGTTGGTCACAAGGGCAAAGGGCGCGCTTACCAATTCTAAAAGCCAAGGGATCTTGTTAGGTCAGTTTGAAATTAGATGGCACTGGTTGCAGGTTGGTTCTAATGATTTACTCGTGCCATCTAGATTTACCACAAGAACACCTATGGCCAAGTTGGATTCCTTCAATTTTCCCTTCAAATTCCCCACACGGCTCGGATCCCTTCAGCTTCCCTCGCCCGCACTTCGCTCAGATGGTGGAGCTGCCAGAGCCGGAGGTGGCGGATCCTGCCTCTGCAGAGGCCATGGCGAAGAAGGCGCCCTGGGGACGAGGCGCCATTTTTTTCTCGTTTTTTGCGGCCGGAGATCAAGATGACTATGGGTCAACACCCAAATCGTACCCCCAGTGAACATCCCAATCCCCACTAAAATAGACTAAAATGGGTGGTGCACCCACCCCAACATGGTACCATTGGTTTTAGCACTTTAGCAACTTCTTGCCCACTAATGGGTTTTCCATTAAACCACTGAAAGTTCAACTTTTAGTCGGGGAGCAAAAAGCAGCCGAGTGAATGCGAGGGAAAAACTCGGCGACTCGACATGGGCTTTGTCCTGGCTGATATGTTTATACAAACATACCTATTGCATGTTGTTGATTTGCGTTGTATAATTGATGGTATTTTCATGTTTCATTCAATTATTTAGTACTTGGAATGGCATTTACTGTACTTGTCATAGATTGCTCTCATGGAAAGGACTCACCAAAGGGGCTCAGAAAGAAGGGAGATGTCCCCAAAAAGGTGAGACATTTGGTGTTTTTGATGGGCCCGTAGCGCTGTGCCGAAACCAAATAGATATCCAATGTCCTGCAAAGTAGCCTTCCAACACCTTCCTATCAGCTTCCATGATGGGCAAAACAACAACATCTCGAGGGTAAATGAGCTAGGATGAAGATCTATGATTTGGGGAATCCTTGTTTGTGGTTTGCAAATTCTAGCAATTCGGCCATTTGATTGGTGGGAGGAAGTCTCAGAGAACCCTAAACAGGTTCGAACAAACTGGTTCCAGCATTCACTAAAAGATCATCGCGTCGTGTTGCATCCAAAAGGTCCGAAAGGAGCCTATTTGTTCCCCAGTTTTTCAGTGGCACCCTTTTTTAGCCTTATTGTTTGATGGCTACCCCACTAACTTTGTCAACCCCAAAAAAGGGTTCCCTCGGATGTGTCGTTTTTAGGGGGCGCCCCAAAGATGGTGGATTCCTTTGCTTTTTCTTCAATCCCGCCAAAAAGGCGGGTACCAACTCCAAAAAAGGACGAGCCGCCCATTTTGGGACACCCCTCCTTCGCCCCCTCCGCTCGCGAAGGCGGCGTGCCGTTCCCCAAGAAGCTGCACGGCAGCCCGACCCGGGTGGTAGCCGCACAGGCCTGGTGCCTGGTGCCAGCCCCAAGAAGAGCGCTGACCCCAAAAGGGGGGGCCCTTAAACTTGTTGGTAAGACGACGTTGGTGCCCTAAGCATCATCGCACCCTCCAGTGGAGGAGTCAGAACGTGTCAGAACCTCCATAAGGGTTTGGATCAAAAGAAAGGCCACCATTTTGAGGTTGGTTGGCCAGTCCACTTGACCTGAAGTCAGGGGCAAGTGGCGGTTTAGTGAGTTGCCCAGCGCCACCCGTTGTTTCCGTGGGGTCGAAATCAAGCGACGAACAACGTGTCCGGTGTCCCTCGTTTTCCCAGGGCACTGAGCTCCTGAGGGGTGGATTTTGTGGATGGTCCAAGCCGCGAAATCCGGGCACCAAGTAAAATAGGTGGGTTATCAACCATTGAAATCGGGTATCCAAGCCAACTGCTGCGAAGTGCCCATCCTATCAATCCATCCTTGAGAACAGCATGAGTAACTGACAATATCAATTGCAATGTTTGGGGCGGATGTGATGGGGGCCGGGAATGCCAGAAGGTCGAGCACTTGCCCCAATCAGCGTGGAAGCATGACATGGCAGCATGTAAAACCAAAGAGCAAACCGAGAGAGCAACCATGGCCTGGATGCAACAGAACCCCAGCAGCGTGAGACGAGGTGGGACCCACTGAGGACGGCCCGGTGGCCTGCAGACCTCCCCATCCGCCTGAGCCCCGCCAGGAGGCGGTGGACAAGCGCTTCGGGAACTGGGCGGTCAGGACCTCAGAGGTCCAAAAGGGTTCCGCACGTCAGCCCATTTCCATCGATCCGTCTTGTCAGACAATGGCCATTTTTGGGTGAAGCGCCCAGATGTGTTGGGTGATGTTTCTCTTTTGAGCAGTGGATGGAATGAGGGGATGAAGCGTTTTGGCTTGCGTCGGAGCAAGCTGTCGCGTACACGAACTTGCAGACTTTGCAACTTGAGGCGATCATCGAAACCCAACTGGCCATGAGGCATAACCTATGGCTGCATTTTGGGGTGGATGAACATCCAGTTGCCACCTATTTTGATGTTCACCAGAGGTACAGGGTCTTGACCCACAGCCAACTGGAACTCTCCGAACTCGGAACCCGAGGAGTTCCTGAGCTTTGCGCCCTTGGATGAGCTCTTCTCGCTTGAACGTGAGTCGGGCGAAGGCCCGCGTTTGTCCAATCTGGCGGGTTTAAACGAATTGTCCACCTTTTGAGTTTTATACTTTTATTCTTTTGGAGGGGTTAGCCATTGTTTTGTATAAACCACCTGTGGGTTTTACAACATGGAAGCCAAAGGAAACTAAAAGGGTTGCGGAGTTTTGGACACTGGGCCCCTGTTTGCCGCTTTTGCCTTTGCACTGATGAAGGGCCGGGGTTTCACCAACCTTTTTTTGTTCTTGTTGGTTGTTTGTGCGTGTGGCTTTGCGGGACGTAAGACAGAGACGGCCTTGAGGGTAAACGTTATGAGGGTAAGGATGGTCCTATTCAGGCAGCACCAGCGCACTCAAATTACCCTCTGGTCCGCGAACGCAGAGTTTCAGGGTCCAGGCAGCTTTTCAGCTTTCGGCTTGCGTTCTGTGAAAAGCGAGACCCAACCAAAGGGCAGTGCCAGGGTCCAGGTCGAAATGTGAATCCCAGGAGGCGAAGCTGAGCGAGCGGCCCCTGGCTCAGACTGCACGAGATCCAGCGGACTGCTCAGTGGCCCCCTTCCTTAGACCCTGACAGCTGAAAGTTGCCGGGTCTTTGCCCAGAGCGTTTTTGGTTCTGCCAGGGGTTTCTGGTTTTGGTTGCGGCAATTGCAGAGTGTTTCGCCTTTTGTTTGGTGTGTTCAGGAACATGATCAATCCCCCCAAAAAAGTTCCCTTTGCCAAGGTCACAGGGCAACTGGCTTTGGGACGCCAATCGCCACCGGTTCATATGATATCAACCTTTGAGTTCCTCACCGGTTTTGATTGTGATTCGCTTGATGTCTTTGTGTGCTCCTTTTTCCAGACTTACTGTGGACGGATGAATTCCTGCACCTAAGAAACCCTGGAATAATGATTTCCCTGTAGATGAAAACTAGCGTTATCGTTTCTCATCTGGTTTAAGATTTGGTGCAGGCGCCCCCCCCCCAAGGGGTGCCCTGCGATGTTGGGGAAAGGGGACATGCGTCGCACTGGCCGCTCAGGTCATCGTGGTACGGCCACGCTTAGTGCGCAGTGACTTGAGCTCTGGAACGCAAGCGATGCCATGGGTGTGAACAGAGCCCAAAACAATGGTGTTACCATAAATGTCCTTAAATTGGTTTGAAAAGAAATAGAGGGGTTCCACTGGTTTAGATTGGCTTTATTCCATTTACTAGGACCATCTCATCTCTTCTACCAAAAGGCCACCTATGGGCATCACATTTTGGAGGCTAACGAAACAGAACTTCTCGTGCGGGTGGGGGGAGCAGTGCGGGTGGCCCTCATCAGTTGCTGTGCTTGCCCTGCCTTAAAAAACAAGCCGCGCTGATGTAGCCTTCCTTTTGGAAGGCTATGGGTCCATAAAGGATCAAAGGCGCAGCTGGGTGCGCGTCCCGCTTCTTTTGGAGTTGGACCTGTTTGGGGTGTCAAAGGGAAACCAAAAGGACAACCACCAGTTTGGGGATCCCCTAAAAAGACACCCAGGCGAGCCACAATCAAAACCAGAGCCCTTTGAGTAGATTCTGTTGAGCCAGGTTTTGGTCTGAGTCATCCTGCTAGAGCCCATCTGAACCCATTCAGGGTCACCCAATCTTTCGGTTAGAGCACGGATATGAACTCCAGACAATGAATCCGTGAAGTCGACCCCAGCCACATCTCCCCATCTCGCAAAATCTCACAGCTTCGCTTCATCGGCCATGAAGCGTGCGGCAAGCCCATCGAAGCCAGCGAAGGCAGTCGCCTGGCTGAATCAGAACCAAGGGGTGCGCTTCACCATAGATTCTTTGGGAAGGATCCCTTCGTGAGGTAGGTTTGCAAACACCCACCCGTGTTGGAGGTTCCCCTGAATCTTGACCCTACAGCTTGCGGAGTCTGTTTGTTCATGTACATTTGGACTTCGTTCTCGTGCATGGATTCCACTTCGAGCTCCACTCCAAGACTCCAAGATGGTCTCTGCCCCAAACCAGCTGTTGCCCTCAGGGAAATTGGGTGTATGTCTCCTAGCGACTGCCTGGCAAAGGCCTGGCGATTTGTTTGCTGTGTGGGAAACAGACTAGATTATGCACAATCGAGGTAGAAACGCACCAAAACGAGGTATGGCTACAGCATATGATATAGGTGGCTGAGATTACAAACGCATGTGTCGTTGGAGAACAAGGCCAAGAAGTCCAAATGGGTGCAGGGTTGGAGAACGAGGTGGGAACAACCGACTTTTTAACCAAATGACTGCTGTAGCTCACGTGTAAATATATGTATATATAACTCTAAGAAAGAGGGCTTAGCCCCTGGGTTCTAGGGTGGGTTTGGTCGGGTTTGGTGGTGGAAAATTGGCTCGCAGGTCAAGCGCGTGCCCGTGGACTTGAACCAGACGCACCCGGTGGTACGCTTGCGCCTTGCCACAGTTGGGGCAAGTCAGGCCTCAAACGGCCTTCCCTACAGCTCGCCGATTCGGGACGACCGAAAGCCATGTCGGTCCTCTGGTCTAATTGTTATTTCAGGTTTGGAATTGTAAAAGACTTGGTGCGGTGAATTTCTTGTCATTGTCACAACAGAATGTCTTCACATTCCTTGAGATAGCTTCCTATGCCAGTTTTTGAGTGTAACTCACGTGCACGGTTCGGACATGCACAGTCTCGTGTACGAGGGGACGAATCCGACTTTGGCCAGGCCAGCTTAGCTGGCCACTATCTCCTATTTCTTGCCTAATCCTTGCGGATTTGCCTGGGTGCATTGTAGTTGGGATACCTCAAACATGAACCAAACCCTGAGGTTCACTGGGTAATCCTTGGGTTCACCAACATGTGCACCCGCATTTGCGGAGCCGGAGTTATTTGATATGGCAAAGAGATATGTCTTTGATGCGCCCCAAGAAACGTTACACGACACTTTGGAAATTGTGAAATTCCTGCAGCCTGATAAATGAACAGACCATCCGGTGTGTCAGAAGTGCTGTAAGGCGAGCCGCTGGCAAGGATGGAGGAGCCGAAAAGTTCACTCAGGTAAGCCTTAGTTGGTGGTTCGAGGATTTGAACCCCTGGTTCTTGTAGAGGAGCCACACCTCAACCACCAAACCACCAAATAGAGGAAAGATGATTTACTTGAAGACTATCCGAAGGCCCTCCTATTGGGCAACGTGTCACACAAGTCGCTTCTAATCCATCCCACTGAGCTGCCCTAATCACCATGTCCACCAGTCCGTGGTCCATTCGGCTTTTGGGATTTGAGGGGGGATGCACTAGATGTCGACCACAAAAAGCAAGGATGACCCACGCGCTTCGGAAAGTCTGCGGAGCGTAGGAGAACTGACCTTCAAATTCCAGCACACCCCTGCGCGGCTGCTCAGCTGGCATTGCCCCAGGTCACCAACTGTCCAAGTTTTGGAGCTTGGTTTACCTGGGGCCAAATCGATTCAGTCTGGTATATCCAAATGTTGCCCCATGGTTGGGCAAGTCTCTGAGCCTGTTCGGGTGGCGAAACCGGAGCCTCGCATTTGAAACGAAAACTTGAAGCCTCCTTCGGGCGATAGATGGACCCTCACACCCTCAAAATAGTTGAATCCACCCTGGACCCTGAGGCAATATCCCATTTTGAAGGAAGGTAGCTTGAGGGTCCACTGATATGAAGGCGTTCCGGTCAAATGTGGAATCTTCAGAGGTTGTTTGTGTCCTTTGAGGTTTCTCCGAAGAAGACAAACACCGAAGGCCCATCGTTTATACATATTTTCCCGAAGGAGAACTCGAGGTTTGTGAACCCCTGATGGTCATCACTGTTGGTTGCATGTTCGGTTGATTCTTGATGACATGTTCTTCCCATACCAGACAGCGCCGTGTGATTTTGGATGCAGATGGATGACCAAAGAACACATGGTCCGAGCGCCAAACCTGGCGTACTTTTGGGTTGATGTTTTACCTTGAACTTGTTGATGGCACATGTGGGTGTGTTTCTCAACTAACCAAGATGTGAAAACTCCCCTTAGACTGGTATCGAGATGCCAGCCTATTCGCGATGCAACAGCTAAACTTTTTGGGCGGGGGCAATAGCCAGACAACAAGGACAAAGGTGAGATTGGGACCGGGACACATCAGAAGCCAGGTGTTTCAACACACAAGCAAAAGCCACTCATTGGACATCTTTGCTTTGAATGAAACATACCCAGGCAAACACTGGAATAGACCAAAGCTGTAGGCATGTGTTTGGGGGGTGGTAAGTCTTGGCGATGATGAGAGTGAGATAACATTCATGAGACCAAGAATTTGAGAGGCTTGCACACTCAGTTTTAGCAATTTGGAATGTCTTCCGCATGGCATGTAGAGAGAGGGGGAGGGAGAGAGAGAGAGAGAGAGAGAGACCCGTAAACGGCCAGAATCAATGCCTCTTTTGCTGAGTCACTGGACTTTATACTTTTTGGGCAGACCATCTTGGTGTGAATAAAGCGTGTCCACTCCGCTCAGTGTTGCAAACAAGTAACAAAAAAGCAAGAACAGCAAACACTTTTTCCGGGTGGTTTCTTGTTTTGTTTCGATTTTCTTGTTCTTGTAACTCCCAAGGGATTTGCTGAAGCGAGAGAGACTGAGAGAGAAAGAGAACTGGCCCCAAAGACCCGATTGCTTGGAGTCAGTATTTGTTTGTAACGGTGAGGGACTCTCCTTGGATCCATGGGAAAATGGATATCGCGAGTGACTCCATGTGTGTACAGAGAACCCAAACAGGAGCCGGTTTGCTATTTTGAGTTCAAGTTGGGTGTGTCTTTTGTAAATTTGCACCTTTTGGTGGCTTGTGTAAAGGGAGACCAACAGAGAAACCGGAGACAACACATTGTGGGCCTCCAAAAGACACACCCACATAGGAAATGATTCTCCGAGGATTCCCATTTTGGGTCTAGGTCTTTTTGGCAACCAACAAATGGACCCAAGGGGTATGATTTCATTTCTAAAACCAAGGGCTTAATGAAATGTGCCACATACAGGCATGATACTGCCACTAAAAAAATCAAGAGCTAGGGCAAACCGCAGGTTTTTGTCTTTGGTTCCATTTACCAAGGTGCCATATTGGTTACCTTTGTTTCAGCCGCTGCTGCAAACCCCGTGGGGTGATGAAGTTTGTGGGGACCGGACGAGGTGGCGCCTCGCGTGAAAGTCCAGGACGCAGATGCCTTGAGGGACCTGCTCGGCCAGGCGTCCGGTGGGGTGGTGGGTGGCTCGGACCTCCCAAGATGGCGCCATGGTTTTTCCTGTTGGTTTCCCAAGGGGCGCCGAGCCTCCAAAAAGAGACACTCCTATGGTGGGGTTGCTTTACCACTCGGTTTGCCACTTGCTGTTGTGGTTGTTTGGAAGGGTCTGGAGGTGGATTTGGGCAAGTAAGGGATTGGACATCCCTGCCCAAAAATACATCGCGGCCAGAAAACGCGATAATTTGCTGCAGTTTCAGGGCAGCCATAAATGATAAGCAAGAACCTGGCAAGAGGGCCTGTCTTTCAAACCACAAACCTCCAGGACCCCCCAACCGAAAGTACCCCAAAATTTGGTTTTCCCCAAAATGCAGATGAGCATGGACCCAAACAGGCATGCCTTTTTCTTAGTTTTGGAATCAAGCGTGACTCCGGTCTATGGTTCATTTTGGGGAGGGGACTGAATTCGAATCTCTACCTCACTCAACATTGATTGGCTGAGGATATGTTCTTAGGGACAACTCTCCAAATGTTTCAATCGAGGGTCAACTATAATATCCGACGTCAGTCGGGACAAAGCAAATATTGGCTGTGGCTCGGAGTAGAAGCCCAGCATGACATCACTCACACCGAGACTAGTGTGTACTGTTTCTTTTTCTGGAGGGGTTTCGCCTTGGCAACGACCAAAAACAGGTGTCCGTTGGCTGAAGACCCCTTCACTTTCGCGGGCAAGCTGGGGGTCGGCATGAACCTACCGGGCGTGTGGCCGGGGAACCCTTCGATCCGTTTGCCTTCGGTTCTTAATTAGCTCTCTTGCCCAAATCCAATTTGACCCTTCTGGTTTTCCATTTCTAGTGGCTCCAAAAGGGAATCGACTTGCGTTTCTGGGTTTAAACTGGGCAACTGAAAACCCGCCTGGGTTGCCTCTGGTAAATGGAATCACTGCCAGCTGTTGCCAGCTTGTCAGTCAGGAGACCACCAGATCGGTAAGCACCAGCGGCGCTAGATGCTCAGAGTCTGTGTGAGCCAGAATACAAACCCGGGCAGCTGAAGGTTAAGGGGCAGTCCCAGCCATGAATGGGTGCGCCACCTTCAAATTATTTCTTTTTAACACCAGAAAGCCCACAAAAACTGTTTCTTGCTGCGGCAGCCATGTGGGTGTGTCCAATTTTCTGAGGGCGCCCTGTTTGGATTAGCGCCTGTTGGAACGAGCCGGTCACAGCGGCTTCCAACTAGGCGGAATTGGTGCCCTTTGCCAAATGGCCTCCTGGCAATTCGAGTTGGATGGGTTTTTAGGGTTGCTATGGTTCCACCAATTTTGAGACAGAATTGCGGCGAAAACAATCCATTCTGAGACCTGGGCGCGACAGCCGCGGGCGCCGTGGATTGAGCAAATGGCCGGGCACTTACAGCGAACGCCAAGCACCTGGGTGCTGGGCCCGGGGACCATCGGAGACATCTTTGCCCTTGACAAAAATGAAGAACACATTGATACCCTAAACCCAGGATCCTGGGTTTAGGGTTGGACGTTGAAGTTACCTTCACTGTGAAGTCTTAAAACCAAATGGACCCGGCAAGGTACTTAGTCTCCCTGGTTCTCAGGGCAGCTGGCACCCCAAACTGAAGTGTCCAGGCAGACTGTTGTAGGAGAGAGGGAAGCCATCCATGGCGTTTAGGCCATTTCCAAGCACCCTTCCGACTGCAACTCACGGGTTCAGAAATTCAAAACTGGGTCAAGGCCTTCGTATGTGACACATCAGACGGCCCTCTGATGGCACAGATTTCAATCCTAGGATGGTTGGACCTTGACCAAGGAGGTTTTGGAGCTGTGGACTTGCTTGGATCTTTGGTATTCCAGAAGTTTCCCTTGCCTGGTTCCCACCTTCCTTCCGGTGTTCCTCCCCTTACCTCAAGTGCGATCGCTTCATTAGAACTCGCCACTACACTCAGCAATGAGACCGTCCTTGGTTTCCTTGGTTCTAGGGGTTCATTCCTTTTCCACTCTTTTCAACCATTCTGTTCAATAACCAGATCCATTTCCCCAGGGTTTTTGGCTGGCTCGCGCGCTCGTGCAGGTGCGCGAGCTGTGCCCGGAGAAGCGGGAGCTATTGCGGTACCGGCTCCGACGAGTGCAGGCCGCTTCATGTCCTTTTTGGATCTTAGTTTGGCAAGAAATAGACGGGCTCCACCGGTGAAAAGCCGGTTTTCCGAGCCATTTACCGGGGGAACCCCATCTGTTTGACCAAAAGGACACCAAGCATAGGTGTCCTTTTTGGTTGTTTTGCTTGAAAATTAGATGGGTTTCGATTCCTGGTTTACCTGGTGGTTTAATCATCTACCAGGGCCATCTATCTCCCCTAAAAGGACACCTATGCCTCTGACGCTTTTTGAGGGTAGGCCGAGTGAGCCGAATGGCTCAGTACCGATTTTGTTTCGGAGTATGCAAAATGGATCGCAACATCATTTACGCTATGCAGAAATCTGAGCACTGTTTGTTTGCAACAGTTTGGTTCCCGTAGCAGTCTTGCCGAGGTGCAGGGTATGGAGCTGAAAACTGAGAGCTTGCCTTGTTGAAACTGGTGAAATTTGAACCATATGTTTTGACCTACTGGGACAGGAAGATAGAAAGGGAGACAGAGAGAGCTAGAGCGAGAGAGGGAAAAGCAGAGAGCTAGAGCGAAGACAAAGTCACTGAATCTCGCTTTCTTTCCCCCTTCCCAGGTGTTTCTTTTTTGAGGCTAATCTTGGCGGGGTCCAAAGGGAACCCAAGGCACGGTTTTCGCCAGGCAGAAGTGGCGACATCCAAGGAGAGCGGAGCTCGAGGGTCCAAGGTGTGTCTTTTGGTTTGGGGACCCACCAAAGTGTCCCTTTCGAAACCACAAACAAAGGCACCCTGAAAAAGAGACGCCCAAGTACCTGTTGTGGTGCGTTAACCCCTTTAAACCCCTCAAACGCCATCCTCGAAGGAGATGTGTTGGAAGTTTTCCAGACCCCTTACTGTGGATGGACAGAAACCGTTTCGCACCACTCAGGATTATATAGTGTTTAACAATAGTGATTTTGTCCCAGATTTGATGATAAGGAAGGTTTTTTTCTCCATTTTAGAGGGAACCCTTGGTTTTTGTTTTCTTCTTTATTTGTGGGGGGCTACCAAATTCCGCCAGGTGGAATACGGGGCCAACATGAACAGATGGGCGGTGTAGGAGGCCTCCGCTTCTATTTCTCGTCTCAGCAGAAAGGGCTTGACCAAAGCGATTGGGGACGTCTGATGTACCTTCTTGTTGGACTTGGTGGGTTGGTATTTGGGTGTTTGCTTTTGCACCCCTGTTTTTTGTGGCGTTCAAAGGGAAGCCGCAAGGAAATCCGATGCCAAAATGACCCATCCCCCCAAAAAAGCCGAGGCGACATTTTTCGGAGGCCGGCTGGGGACCCGGACGCATGCCCAAAGCCAACTTTTGGACCTTTTGGTATTCCCCTTTTGATGCATCTCTTGGCCTTAAAAGGTGGTCATCTTTGATTTCTGGGTCCATTCCGGGCAACTTAGTTTGACACATACTCTGTGTCTACCGCATCGGTCTGTTGCGCCGGCTTTGGGCTCCCAGGAGAGCTTCCTTGACCGATGGGGCCATTCTGCCGAAGCTCGCTCCAAGCGAACGAACTGGTTCGGTGGTTCTTTGTGGTTCTTTGGCACCCGGTCTTTCCCGATTGCTCGGATGGGGAACCCCGTTTTTGAGCTCAACCCAAAACGGGTTGCATTTTTCTTTCTACCAAGTGTACTGGGCAACACTGGGCAAATGCAAGATTATAAATCGAAGCATGGTGGAGAAATGAGGTTGGTAGTGGAGCCGGTCCATTGCCCATGGTCACCACATCGCCCATTCGACCTTTTGGTGGGTTGTCATTGGATTCCTTTGGATTCCTTTGGACTCCCTTGGTTTCCATGGACACGTTGACGGCTTTCTCATCAAACCTACAAACGATGAAGGACCTGTTCTCAAACCCACACCCTGTTGGAGAGAAAATCGAGGGAGCCAGGGTTCTTTGGGCTGCCCTCGGAAGCTCATAAGGCGGTGTTAAGGGCTAACTTCTCGACTGGGGTTTGCAGACCAAAAAAATACGGTGGGTGCGTGAGGAGAGCTATGGTTGGAAACAGGCGGGGTGTTCAACACCGATCCGCAACTTGTGTTGTGATGCTTGACGCGATCTTTTTCAAGCAACCTTCTGTTGGCTCTCCTTGGAAAAAGGGCACCAGAGTGGGATTTCAAGAAATCTTGCGACTGGAACCCACCCCATAGACCTCAGGATTTCGCCAGCATCGCCATAGACATGTGGCTGGATGACAAGTCCCTAGAGGACCGGGCCGAGCTCCTGGCAGTGAGTCGCTTTTGGTCGGGTTCTGGGGTGTCTCATTTAAGGTTGCACCCCCCAAAAGTTGGTTTGCTTCACGGGAACCAAATGATAAAGACCTAAATCAATAAAATGGTGGGGAAACTAAAAAGGTTCGCAATCTTTATTTTGGGGACCTAAAAATGGTGGTTTGCTTTTGGTACCCCTCTAACACCCAACCACAAGGGGGTCCCCGAAAGAAAAGGCACACTTTGAGAGTTTCCAGTGGCAAGCGTGGAAGCTGGTCCGGTCAATCCACTCAAGTGGGAGAATACCCTTCCGGAAGCGGTCAAGATTCAATACAAAGACGATTGCCCAGCAGCTCCCCAGAAGTGGATTCATCGACTCTTGCGTTGCCACTGTTTGTGATGTGCTTCAGGAATCCCCTAACGACTCCCAGTGGATCCATTTAGCTGTATAGTAGCTATTGTGGGGAACCAAGGGATTTCCCACCCTTGAAAAGCAGGAAAATAGAGACAAAGTGTTTTGGGTTGGATTGGAATCAACCACTGTACAGAAAGAGTGACCGGCACCATATTCCACTATGCTTCCCCCCCCCAAGAAAACAAGAAGAAGAGTTGTGCAGGGATTTTGGGAATCCCCAAAGTCCAGTGTTATGGTCAAAAGACCCCCTTCACTGGGGATGTCAGCGTGTTAGCGGCTGTAGACCGCTGTTGGACAAGTGTAAAGGTTCCTAAGACTGCCCTGACCATGGCCCGTAGCTTTGGAAAGGGCCTCGGAGAGGGTGCTAGTCTTGATGGCTTCAGTTGTGACTCTTTCTTCGGATCGTCGGTTCTGCTAGGAGGTGCTGCAGAGGGCGAAGGAGTTGGGCCAGATGAGTACATCTCAGGAGAGAGGGCTTCATTCAACCGACCAAGCAACCAACCAACCGACCAACCAGGCAAGCACGAAAAAAGCAAGCAAACGACCAACCAAGCAAGTACTTTTGGGGCTGCAATTGCGTCGACCTGTCTGACCGAACTGGTGAAAATGATGGGTTTCACTAGCAAACAGAACAATTGACTTTTTGCAGGGCATCTGAACTTTTAAGGGCTCCACCCCCTCAAAAAGAAAGAAACCTGCGCGCCGTTTTTTTTGGTCAGGAAGATGCTCAGCCCGGCTCCTCGGTGCGAAAGGTGCGCATCAGCCATTGCCTTGCCCGGTGCCCTTTTTTGTTTTTTAAGACACATACAGGGTTTCACTTTTTGACTGCCCAGGATTCTTTTTGAGGCCTCAAACCTTCCAACCCTGTGAATGGAGGCCCTTTTGCTTTGGGATGCTCTACGTCATTTGTGTCCTTGCAGATTCCTTTCAGGTCGAATGGTTACTCTTTGCCCTAACTTGGTTGCGTCCTTGAGATCCAAGTGGGATCAAGTTGAACCGTGCTTTTTTGTTGCGAGCGCCACATGTGGGGATCTAATAAATTGGATTATTCCAAACAAGTTTCGTGCGGTGATGGTTTAACACAGTGGATGTGATTTGTTGAATACTGTGCTTTGGTACGCTGCAACATGCTGAGAACCACACCAATCCCTGCCTGGAGTGGATGGTATCCATGCACACCCCGCAGCCTTTGTATGTTTGTTTCGCCCCTTGCGGCTTCATCCCTTTGGTGCCCCTCCAAAGCAACCCCAGTACCCACTCCGCTCCTCACAGCTTTCCTTTGGTGCTGCAAAACAAACCCCAAAGCGCGCCTCCCAGCAAATGGGCGTGTTTTTTTTGTTTTTGTCTTCTTTTTTTTCTTTCCGAGGGTGCCATTTTTGGGTTGGTCAGACTTGCTGGTGCTGGGAATGCCCCGGGTTGTTGGGAATGAACCTAGGGATTCTCTTAAACGAAGCCATAGCCTTCGAGACAAATAGGTTTTGGGTCAATTGGTCCTTGGTTCCATTTACCAGGGCAACCGATTTTGGGTACAATCAAAACCCGGGTAGCTGAACCTATGACCCTAGGGCTTGGTTTAAAGACAACCGAAAAGGCACCAACAGCTTCTCTGGGCCCTAAACCCTAAACCCTAAACCCCGTTGAGACCAAATTCCAAATCGGCCCGTCAGGTTTCATCCTCGAGGGCGACTGGGTGGACCTCGTGGCTCGCTCGGAGGACTTGGCCTTCGACGCCCTGCGGCCCATGATCACCAAGCTCTCCGGGCCGGAGGCGACGAGGGAAAAGTCACGGCGTCGATCTCCGCGCGTCGCCGGCGCTTTTTTGTTTGTTGTTTGTTTTTGTTTGTTGTCTTCTTCGGTGTGTTTTCCGGATTTACCTTGATTGTTTTAAGAACATCTTGTTTGTTTGTTTTTAGTTTAGTTTACTTGTTGTTTTGTGGTTTTAAAGAACATCTTGAAACCTTTGGTATCTCTATTTGTTTTAAGAGCATCTTGACACCTTTATGGCTATTTGGTTGGATCTTTGGACTTTGACGTTTTGGGCCGAAGTGGAATTTCCAGTGGACCCACAAACGGTTAAACTGTTTGCAGAGGGCGCTAACAGCAACCAAGAAACAAACATGCTTGGCAGTTCCTTGGACACAATCAATATCCTCAAACTACATGCAGAACCCTACATTCTGGGTCAGTGTAATATTTTAGATCTGATGAACCGCAAAAGTATAAATAAGATGCAGGTTTAGAGTTAAACAGCAATTGAGGGGATAATTGGGGGTTCCACATGCTTTCCCTATGTGTTTTGGTGGTTCACCTTCGGGTTCGGCTTAAGACGAAATAATTCTCCGAGCCTGGTGTGGTTGGATTGCTCGACTATGCTTTCTTCAAGTTGTTGTAATTTGACCAAGCCATGTTTGGGCAGAAACCAGGTGAGGTGTTCTAAATCTTAAGGCTTTCCTTTACCCAGACACATTGTATACCAGCTTGTGCAATCGATTCGGTCCAAGGCGGCTACCCCGACCGTCAAGTCTTTGCAGAGGACCCTTCCCTAACATTGCACCCTCCACAGGGGTCGAATTGGACCTCTCGCCAAATGACACCCGGCGTGTTGAACGGGGGCCCCATTACGCCCTTGGTGCGGAGCTTTTAACACCCGAAGCGGCCACTGGCGACGCCAATGCGTTGCCGGTGTGCCTGTCTCAAATGGTTGGTTTCCTCTGTGCGGCCCTTAGAGACCAACCAACCAAAAGCTAGCTCCTCAACCAAAAAGCCTTGTAGATGGGTCTCCCCCCCCCAGTTGCATGTAGATGCGTGGAGTTGTAGCTGCCCCTGTTGCCTACACTGGGCCCGTTGTTCGCCTGGGATTGGGGAGGCACTAGGAAGTCCGGAAAGTCGAAGGGGCTCGGCCTCAGGCCCACGTGTACACGGTGTCCAAGGAGAACTGCTGCTTAGCGCATTAGCCCTTCGTAGGGCTTTTGGTTTCAAGCATGCCCCTCACAGGATACCCTTCGGGCCAGTCAAATAACCTGGAAAATTGTTGATTTGGAAGGTCCTGTTGCGAAGCGGGCGGTTGTTGGATGTATCCTTTGAGGAACCTTGTCAATGGAAAACCCGGGATTGGTGCACCCCTTGTTCCTGGTTTAATGATATGGGGGGATGCCCCAGTAAGTTAAGTGGGAAATTATTGTTGATTCACGAGGTGCATGGTGAGCATAGGTCAGAATCCCAAATGGTCAACATGTGCGGTATTGCTGTTCATGTTTCAGGGGAAAAAAAAACACTCCTTTGCTTTGCACATGTACCAGTGCCAAGCTCGGAAAGTAACCATGTGCCTTGAAATTGCATTCCACTCCTCCTGTGCCTGCTGGCGTTTGGACGGAGTGTTGTTCTCAGTTTGGGTATCGTTCTGCAAGTTTAAAGGTGATGAGGTTACTATAGGGAGGGTCATGGATGCTCACATAGGGAAATCAGACAGGCATTGCATGGCTCCGGTTCAGCATTCCCCATTGCCCGCATGCTCAGTTTTGACCCCCAGCTGAGATGGTGGGGGCGGCAAACGCTCGGGCGGTCGCCATGACATGGCCAGTGACATGGTCATGGAGCCTTGTCCTGGGCACGTCGCCCGTGGCAAGTGGAGGTGGGATTCGTGTGATCCTCATTGGCTGCGAGGTGGACTTGCCTCACGTGGAGCATGGCACACTGCATGCGGTCCAACTGCAGGTCGTGGACAGAGGTGCGGTGCTGAACTCGCAGAATTGCAGAGGCGTTCACTCAGCAATGGATGCACTATCGAGCAGCACTCAGGATCACTCGGAAAGGAGGAAAGGAGTTTGACCATGGTGCGTGGTTCAGCTGCGTTGTTTTTCTCATGTGGTTGTGGCCTCTGAGCCTTTCGTAGGTTTCCTCATCAAAGCGTTGAGTCATTTTTCCTGGCAGTCACTCAATGTCTGAGCCAACTCACCCGGCATTTTGGCCTCCAGCGGCGAAGATTCTTTTGAGCGGTGTTCCTTTCAAACTTGCCCAAAAAGATAAAAGGGTGTTCAGGAAATTCACCTGAGGTTTGGGGAGAAATTAAGCAGGATTTGGCCCAAAGTAGTTTAAACACGTGTCAGCCGCCGTTGCTTGAAGGAACCTCCTTTTGGGACACCTCTTGCTTAGCTCCGGTAAGAACGTGCTTGTTGGTACGGGGCACGCCCCCTTTTGAAGCGCCCTTTGATTCTTTTTGTGGGCTGCAAACAGCTTGAGTCTGGGGATGAGAACTCCTATTTTGCTTTCCCACCAACTAGCCTGGAACCTGCGGGTCCCTTTAAAAAAATATGGTCTTCCAGCACCCCCCTGTCACGTTCCATATTAATTGGTGGGAGGGTAACCCTTGGGTTCTTTCGGGGTGTGGCAGGGCCCCATGCCAGCCACCTTCGATGTGAGGCTTCGAGCAGGAGGGCGCAGTCTGGCGCCCAACAGCCCAGCTCACACCACAAGAGCGCCAGGGCTCGCTGAATACCACTTGGGACTACAAGAAGACGCCCAGGACGCAGGGTCCGGGCTGTTTTTCGGGGTGATTTGGATGTCTTGGGGCTTTGGCGGGACAGGACTGAAGACTGATGGGGCAAAGTTTTACCCAGTCATCTTGCAGGTCTGGGGGTTTGACGAGACCAGGACTGAAGACTGATGGATCAAAGTTGTGCTTACTCTCCTACAGCTCATCCATCTGGTGCTGGAGCTTTGGATCATGGTTGTGGAAAGTTGGATTTTAGATGTTCTTTGCCCTCATGTGATCAGTAGTTGAACCGGATGGTTTGGTACTCATGGTCGTTAAAATGCCACTTCAGTAGGCAACCAGCAGGTTTCCTTTGGGGCTTCCTCTTCTGGTGTGACACCCGTTGGTACCTGCCTGATTGTGATATGGAATCATTGGGCTGACTGCGTTTTTGAATCCCAAGTGACATAATTGTCTCTTACATCGGAAATATCTCCCGTTTTGTGGGTAGGCCTTCTCACTCCAACAATCAAGCCCAAACGGGCAAGGTTTCGATACGTTTTGTTCCGCTGGTTGCAGCTTGTTCGGGCAAAGTACGCACGAAGTCACCGGGTAAAACCAGTGAGGTTCAGGCCTTCAGAGGATTCATCATTTGTGCGGAACTGTGATTTGCCTGAATGTTATGTGGATGAAATCCGGGGGGGGGATGGACGAAACCAATCCTCCGATCGATGGGATGTTGTGAGAGGAGTGGAGTGGAGCTCTTGGACGATTACTTCCTCCGCATCTCAGAGCTTCTGCAGCCCTGTGATGCTGCCGACCTGAACCAACGACTGCGCCCAAGCGGATCGGCTTTCGGATCGGAACGCGTGTCGGCTTTCCGGTAAAAAGAAACAAAAGTGCCCTGAAAAGCAAAAGCAGCCCCCCCCCCCCTGTCCCAAAAAACACAAACTTTGCCTTGTTGTTTGTAGGTGGTGGATCTGAAATCAGCTGTTTGTTGAAAGAAGGGAGGAGATCAATGAAGTTGTTTGTTGAAACTTATGGATTTGCTCACTAGGCGTGTTGGTCGGGCTTTGGATCCTTCCTTTCGGGTTCTTTTGAAATTTCGCCACAGATTTTGCAAGCTTATGCTTGGAACGGAGATGAATGGAGCAAGCGCTATGTAACATGCTCATGGCTCCCTTTTTGGTGATGGTACAGGAACTTTCTTGATTGCGTGTGGGTCAAAAATACGTTACGTACCCAAAATTGAACCCTGGTAAATGGAAACAAGGACGAAAATCTGCGGTCCGTGGGTGGCTGAATTTTGACCCATATACCCATAGAACCATGGTCGAAGCAAGTGGTCCGTGCACAAAATGTGACTGAGCCGGTCATCGCCAAGCTGCCATGCAATTTTGGCCATCCCAGGTACCTGATTTGGAAGCTGCCGCACTATGTCACTTCATATCATCAGGACACCCACGTGCCGCCTCATTTCACCCTCTACAACCAGGTCTCTGGGGTGAGCATCTTTCACTTCATGCCAGTACTGGTAGGCAGGGTCCAGCCATGCTGAAGCTCGTTAGGTCGGAATCTTGCTGAAGCAAGACCCCTTGAAGAGGTAGTTCAGTTCGGATTTTTGGAAGTGAGGTGAAGGCATCAAGCCCAACTGACCAAATTCAAGCGGAATCTTCTTAGAGTTAAACAGTGCAGAGGTTGTTTGGAGGAATCCATGGCCTGCACATTTGCAGCGCGAGGTCTCTACTTGACCCACGTGGGCCAGCGCAACGTCTTCGAGCTCAAGCGAGCCGCTGGGCCAGAAGGGGTGTTCCATGGGCTGATGCTTTGGTCTGGCAGACATATTTGTTTATTGCCGAGGGGGCAATAGGTGTTGACGATACATGGGCTCAGCGGGGAGCGGGAAACGCACCCACAATCTGATGGATTTACCCATCTCAGGGTTGAGTTTGAGTGCGACCTACGGTAGGGTCCCCTCAAATCTGGAAAATGTTCTTTTGTAGATCCCTTGCGTTGCACCAAAAGAGTGCCGAAGGAGCGCCGAGATGGGGGTGACGCAGTCGCACTATACCACACATCACATCCATCAAGTGGTTCAACCACATGTAAACACACTTCATCCGGGCCAGAAGTTATATTTTGGCTGTGTTCCCCTATTTTCCTTAGCTTGACTGTGCGGGCAATTAGAGGAACCCTCAACTCCTTGCTGCTTGGTGCAATTGGGTTTATGGTATGTCCTAAACTCTTTTTTGCATCTTAGACGAGCCAAGTGTCAGAACACTGCGACACGAGTCAACCATTTCCATTGGGCTGTTGAAGTGAACTTGGGCTGCAGTTGTGGCATCGGCTACACCCAACTGTGCTTAACTTACCCCCAAGTTTCCGCTCAAAAGCTGACAGGAACATGGCCGGTGACCTACCGGGGCTCATGATTGGGGCCTACCCACCAGAATGGTGCAAGAACTCCAAGAGTTCCACAGGCTCATTTCGACCCATGGGTTTCTTCGTAAGGGGAGAAACAAGCTGAGAGGAAAGCGGATTTGCATACAGGAAGAAGATCACCAAGATTCTGGTCCAAGAAAAGCAAAACCAAGCTTCCCATGTTCGATTGAAGCAGCAAAGAACACCAAGCGGACTGGGTGTTTTTGCGCCCTGTAGGGTGTTTCATTGTCCTTTTGGTGGGAGGCCAGACAGAGAACCAAGAGGCTCCCATTTTCCTCGGGCGAAAATTCGGGGAACGCGCGGGGCGGGAGCCGGCGCCGCGGCGCTCGCCGCGTCTCAGGCCTTGGAGCGGCTGGACGAGCTGCGGGTGGGCTCCCTCGCCGTGCTGGGCCCCGGGCAGGCGATCGGTCGGAAGCTTTGGACGTCGGCCGGCTCGGTGTCTCTCCGTAGAATAGGGGCGGGGGAGTAGGGGGGCTTGTTTTTTCCGTTGTTTTTTTTGAGTTGGCGAGCTTTGGCTCGCCACTTTTTGTGAGTTGGTGTCCTTTTTGGGTTTTGGGGTGGGTTGTTGAAAGGGTAAGCAAAAGCAGAATGGTTGTTTTACCCTAACAAAAATAAAACACGCCTGCACCCAGACAGTTTGGCGCTAGTTGTTTCTGGGGCTTGAGAGACTCAAACTTGTCCGTGCAGGGTGTTTCATTTTGAGCTCTAACCATCTCTCGCGTTGGGTCGTTTGTCACTTTTGGTTGTGGTAGCTTACACATCACCATTTGTTGCCATGCTCGCTACAAAGAGGGGCCCCCTTTTTCACATCCCGTCAGGATCTGGTGCCTAACCCAATGGAGCAATGATGTGATGTGCTCGGTCAAGCCGGTCCTAATTCGTCAGGTGCCCCAAAGGCTCTCGCCTGCCCAAACTGGTCACTTGGCTTTGGTTCCAAAAGGTCATCGCCTTGGGTCAAGAGATCAGCGCGCCAAGGCTCGTTGTGCATGACTGAACCGAGTGGCTTTGTGTCCACATGTCCTTAGTTTCCCTTTAAAACCACCCAACAAAGACGTGTCGGTCGTTTTGGTTGCTTTCCTTTGCCACAAAGCAGCAAGGGTCTTGTTTAGAGCTTGCTTGCAGCTGGGTTGCCTTTGCTCGTGTTTGTCGAGGATATTGTGTGTTCCTTTGCTTAAGGTGTTGTTTCCTTGGCACCCCCTTCACAAAAAAGCAAACAAGCCAACATGTGCTTTGTTCCGTGGCTTCCCTGTATCAATCCACACGTAGCTGTTGCTTCCCTTAAGTGGATTACCTTAGTCTTCAAACAAGCAAAGCAAACAATAGCAGGTGCAGCTTTGCTCATGCTTACCAAAAGTACAGTGACAGACTCTAAGGTATGGGTGTGTCTTTCTTTCCGGACCCCCCCAAAACAAAAGAAGAAAGTAATGAATATAATTGTTTTCTTGTTTTTTTTTTTACAAAAAAGAAGACAAACAAGTCCGTGGTGTTCCTTTTGGCTTGTACCAAAAAGCGCTCAAAGAAAGACAGCTAGCCATATCCTGAACACAGCTTGTGGGAAACCAAAGGGGAGGAGCGCCCCTTGAGGTGGCGCTCATCGCCCCGACCGGGTCCCACGGAGTGTGGGTGCCGTGCCCGCACTATACCCCGGCCATGGCGGGAAGAGGCCGCGGGGCTAAGGTTTGGGCAGGTTTAACCAGGGATTTCGTTTGGATGTCAGGTAGAAACACATTACCTGTGAGGGGTCCAAGGACTATTTGGCTGCGTATTTGTGTTCCTTGAGGTTTCTATGTCTGTCAAAAGAGTGGTTCCCTCTTGGGATGTAGTTCTGTGTCAAAACTAAACCAGCCAAAAAACGGAGGATTTGCTCCATGGTTACACTTACCAGGGGTCCATGTTGGACGCATGTTTGACCCACAGCCAGGTGGTTAGAAGGAAACCGAAAGGAAACCAATCACCATGTTTGAGGGCCCCGAATTTTGAGAAACCAGTCCAGGGGCGTTGACTTTTCTACAAGCCCAAGCTTGAGTGCGACCTCCACCTGTTCCACCAACGCTAGGAGGCTTTCACATCATCATCATCATTATCATCATCACGCCACCATCGTCATCATCATCATTGTCATCCTCATCGTCATCACCACCACCATCACCATCCTCAGCACCACCACCCACCACCATCACCATCACCGTCACCGTCACCATCCTCCTTTTGCTCCTCCTCCTCATCATCGTCACCCTCACCATCACTATCCTCCTCCTCCTCGCATCATCATCACCATCACCACCACCACACCACCACCATTATTAGCACCATCAGCATCAGCATTATCATTAGCACCCTCGCTATTGATCATCATTTTCATCATCATCATTATCATCCTCATCACCATCAACATCATCATCAACATCATTATCATCATCATCATCATCATCATCATCATCATCATCATCATCATCATTGTCATCCTCATCATCATCATCATCATCATCATCACCATCACCATCACCATCACCATCACCATCACCATCACCATCACCACCATCATCATCCACATCCTCATCAGCAACAACATCATCAGACATCATCAGACATCATCATCATCATCACCATCACCATCACCATTATCATAATCATCATCATTGTCATCATCATTGTCATCATCGTCATCATTTCCATCAAAAATCTGGACATGATGCCGGTTCTTTAAGATCATAACCAGGCCAAGTTAGAAGCAAGGACCATTTGCTTGAGTGGTCTAAGGGGTCGGTGCCGAAGCAATTAGACACGGGCTCAAATCCTGTGCTTATTATTTTGCTTCAACAGGCTTATCAGCTCCTCGGTTCTGTCACTCTTGCCACTGTAACTCTCACCAAACACCAGCTGTTGTATTTGAGTATTATGAGTCTTCTTAAACCAGTATGTGTGTCCATCGACTGTACTTGCACAGGATCACTTCTACAGTGACTCCTCTGCTCACACTCAGTCAATTAGCGCGACTGCTTACCTCTGAGGATGTATAATAGCTTCTGCTGCGAAGGAACTCTCCTTGCAGGTTTGATGACAGCTTGCAGCAGAAGCAAGTCTGAAGAGGAAGCACATCGCATTCTGGACAATCACACTTTACGATGCCTCTAACCATTGATGCAATATTGTTGGGGAGCTATGCATCTATACTTTGCGGCGCACATTTGCATTCAAATGCTCCTAGTCTCAATTTGCAAGAACTGCTTCTTGCAGTACCAGCATCATCATCACCACCGCCGCCATCACCATCCGCATCACCACCGTTGAGAATCTTGCTGGAGACCCAAGCTTTGCAATTTGTGCATTGTCTTTTTACCCACCGGCTTGGTAATTGCACATTTTCACTCACTCTCACTTCCCCTCCCCCCCCACCGCCCCCGACCCCTGAGGAGACCTGGAAGCATACCCCTTACTAGTTGGTACTTTTTTCGACTTTGAAAAAACAACTCATTTCCGGGTAAGCTCAAGACCCCAAGCCAACCCCAAGCCAACACCCCAAGCCTGGCCTGGCTCCGCCAGGAAGCGTCTCGGTGATCCGGGCTGCGGAGCTCTTCCTGCGGCCCATCTTCCAGGCGCTGAGCGAGCGCCTCATGTGCCTCGGAAGGCGGTGTGGGGTTGGGTGGGTTGTGGAAGATTTTGGTGCTGGTTGCTGGTGATTTGGTGGTTGGGTTGTGGAGAGATATATAGTTACATCCATCATGTGTGTTAAGTTTACCAACAAATGATTTGGATGTTTCTGGTGTTTTGTGTTTTCTGGGGTGTAATTCTTGGAGGATGTTCTGGTGCGGCCCTGTCAAAGATTTGGCTGGGCCGGGGGCCTTCAGATGTCCCACAATTTGTTTGAGAACGTTGTTGTGTGTTGTTGTTTTTGGAGCCCCCATTGGTTTCTCTTGGATCCAACCTTAAACACGTATGTTATTGTGTTTGCGTGTTTTCGTTTGGTGCCTTGCCTTGCAGATGGGCGCTGCTTCCGTTGGAGGTGTGTTTGCTACTTCCAAATTTTAAAGCCTTGCAAATGTGTTGTTTTTCGCGTTAGTTCAATGTTGACCCAGTTGGGTGAGAAAGAGTGCAATGAGCAGCGCTTCCGCTGTTGATTGCAGTCCACCTGTAGAACACTTACCTACCGCTTGTATGCCAGGCAAAGTTGGGGCATGCGAGTTTGGGGGTAAGTAAGTCCAAAGGCTTAAGGCCGGTTTGTTGACAAGCGCCCATTCACCATGACAATCTCGAAATGGCTTAAACCCTCACAGCGGATGATTTCGAAGGGGACGCACATGCCATGTCATGGCTACCATGAAGCAGTGTGAAGCATGTTTGCGGATGAAGAGGAGAGTTCCGGGATCTACCCAACGATTGGGACTGGGGGGAGTTCGCGGTGATACTTCTTTTTGTCCCCTTGGGTAGACCAGAAGGTTGACCTTGTCTCACCCCAACCCCGAGAAATTCTTAGAGGTGCACTGCGGACGTCCGCAAGATCGCATCATGGGTTTGGTGCTACGCGTCCTGTTGCTCGACTTTCATGGGAGATGCCAATTGGTGTATAGGCTTTACTACAACTTACATGTTAATTAAGCCGGGTAGGAACTGAACCACCTGCTCTGCGAAAAAGGCCAAAAGGGATTTTGGGCTCTGCTCAGATATGCAACAGGGCTAGAATAGATGGGACAACTCCCCTTATGTGGGCAAAGGGAAACTAAAACCATTTGGGAATTGTGCCATCTACTTTCAGCCAAGTGTAAAACTCGGACTCAGGCCGGATCTAGCAGGCTGAAACCCTGGACTCATTCATGGAAAGCGGGGGCGGGTGCAAGTTTGGAGTCATGTTTCTTTTGGGGACAAGGTGTAATTTCGAACCCTGCAGCTTCACGCCGGCGTAACTCTCAGGAAAGATGACTGGCCAGACGTCATGAAGGCGAAACCATGTCGCAGATGGGTCGATTTGGGAGGGAGCGCTGGAAACACTTCTAGACTAAGATGGAGCCCGGAAAAATCAAAGCGCAAAACACATGGTAGAGGAAGCTCCTTTTGGGGAGCCCCCACAAAGTTGGGTTCCACGTTAATCTGGAGATGCTCTGTACAGAGTCGGGCCAAGAATAGAGTCGGGTTGTTAGCAGGTCGGGTTCGTTTTGGATGTCCCTGCATGTACCATGCCGAAAAGGGACCCTGGTGACTCTCCAAACGGGTGCGTTGTTTTTTGGCCCCCGAAAGGATAGTTGTCGTTTTGGTTCCCCTTAAAACCAACTGAACCAATCACATCCAACCACAAAGCCATAGTACATTGCGGGAAATTGCGTGTCCAACTTGTTCCCAACTCCTTTTCAACCCCAAAAAGTGTAACCTGATGAGAAAACATATTGTCCGCAGGTCGAGGACGACTGAAGATCCTGAACACGAAGTGGAGATCCGATCGCCCTTCCAGGTCTGGAAAAAGACTTGGCGATTTCGCATCACCTTCCAGTTGCTTACGAATATTTGTTGTTTTCCTTGTTGGTTTTAGAGGGAATTAATCACTGCTGGATTTGTTTTTCGAGTGGACTCAAGCAATGGAAGTCACCCAGGATTGCGAATATGCGTGGCTCGTCTTTTTTGGAGCTGGACCCTGCTTTGGGGTTAAGGTTAAAGGGACCATGTTTTTCTTTTTTTTTGGGGGTCCCCCTAGAAAAGAGGCACTCATATTTGGATCTCCTTGTTTTGGCGGTGTTTATCATTTTTAGGGTTGCCAATCCAATTGGTGAAGTCGATTTTGCCGAAGTCGATTTTGGTGAAGTCGATTTTGGTGAAGCTTCCTTTTGGTGAAGTCGATTTTGCCGGGGCAAGTATTGGTAGCCCTGTCAGCCTGTCACCAGAACAGCTCGCCACTTGTTCATGTGCCGCAAGGTGCTGGGGCCATCTTTAACACGGACATGGGAAATCAAGATCTCTCCGCAACGGCGCGCGACGTCGACGTGGACAAGCCGGACTCTGACTGCCAGGAATCGCACGCCTAGACGCAGAAGGCGAAGCATGGGACGCGAAAATGGCGTCGAGGTGAAGCTTTGTTCGTGGAGATGCCGGTTTGCATGTGTGAGAGCTGATCAATGCTAGTGCGCGACGCGTGTCTGCGGTGCTTTCTGCCATGTTCAGTGGTTCCATTGTGAGCAACCTTGTCCGCAGCAACTGGTCTAAGGATATATGAGCAAAGCATTGCAGGGGTACCGTTCTTGGCGGGCCCCAATGGATTCTGCAGGTGGACATCGGTTTGGGTAATCCAGGGATCGGTGTTTGGGGCGGTTTCCGCCAGCCGAGAGCGCAGCTTGGCCCTGGCCAGATTGGCCCGTGGCCCGCACCGTGCGCCATGGAAGTCGAATCGGCATGGCAGCTGGCGTTGAGTGCAGAAGATATGGACAATTGGAAGGGGCAGCCTCAGATGAAGGCAGTGGCACGGATGCGTCGTTTTCTTGTCTCAGGGTTGCTCAAAATGGGGAGCAAGCCAGCTTTGGGTAGAGTGGTAGTCCAGTTGTTTGCAACTTCCGGGGCGAACTTTTTACCCCATGGGAGCAAATCCTTTGGCTGTCTTTGCATGTGAATTGCAGCGCTGGAACATGGACTCTCATGGCAGCACTTGCAGGTTGTGAAGCTGGGCGCACCAGCTCGTCATGTTCTGCTTGTGGCGAGTGCAAAAGTGTGCCTTGACGAGAGCAATAGATCCGCTTGAGTCGCTGGAGATGTTCCAGGCAGTTGACCAGGGTGCAAACAACTCCCCTACTCCGAATTAATGTGCCGGTAGGGTTCCCAAAGCACTTGCAAGAATGGATGAAAAGGCAATTGATCTGACCTTGCTATGTCAAGATGGAAGCTACTTGCTTGCCCATGCGCATTAGTTGTTGTATCCTCCTTTAGGGTGATGTCTCAAAGAAGCAAATAAGGAAGCCAGTGAAAGAGCTGTTACTTACGGGGGCCGAGGCAAAACCTCCAGCCATTGAACCTATAGCCAAATAGCCGCACCAGGGTCCCTTGTTTCCCCCCCTAAGGCGCCTGAGGTTCCGTCAGGATATCAGCAGTCGATTTGTTTGGGGGGGGACATGGGCAAACTCCAGGGCTCTGGGAGCACTTTACTGATTCAGAGCCAACTTGCAAGGGGAGACAACCTAGTGACTAAATGAGGGCCATTAAGAGCCAGATGACAAAACCTTTCCATGAATCCCTTGTTCTGGCTGTGAATCACTATTGGAACTTGCCTTGTGCAAACCTTCCAACGCCGAGGTATGCACTGGATGCGCGGTGCGGGCACAGGGGAGGGCCGCTGGCAGCAGGCGAGGGGCGGACCGCCTTGGGAAGCAACCCAAGGCCCAAGAGGCCACAGCCCAGGAAAGGTTTCGAGCGGAATTTCTGAGCTGTTTGAGGTCAAAAGGCCGCCGATTCAACAGGAACCCCAGGAAGCACCCGATCAATGAGGCGCCCCTTTCAGTGACTTATGACTCACCCAGGATGAGGTGGCCAGCTGACCTCCCAAACATCAGAGAGACAATGCGGGGCTGGGGAAGGCCCATGACCAAACCACGTGTTTTAAAGCTGCCATGGCTCGGTTTAGTCGGTGTGTTGCCTTCTAAGAACCAGTTGGGGGCAGCTTTGAAACGTGCCCCGCCGATCAAGAACTTGCAGCCCTGGCTTCCAAGGCGGTTTCCAGCCAAGCGAGACTAAACAGAGCTCGAGCTTCCAAGCTCTTGTTGGCCGGTGGTGCAGTTTTGACTGCTTTCTTGGGGTTATCAAAGTCAGAAACTGGCTGGTGGTTTCCCTTCAACCCACTTGGGCTGACTTCGATGGTGCAATCACCCAAACACTCCATTTATGCAATATTCACCCACATTTACTCTCCAAATGGGTCAACTGTCGGCACATATGACCATGGATTGTGTGCAATACTGTGAATGGACGAAATGCATTTTGCCTAGATTTGAAACCATGAGCACCGTTGTTTGTTGGTGTTTACAGGGGAAACCGAATCATTCCAGGGTTTCGTTTCACGTTGCGTTGCATGGATTTCGCAACCATCCACAGTATTGGGGCCGATCCCCAAATACTTTCAGCTTCCCTCTACTTGGTGGTTTGGGTTTGTGGTTTGGAGGTCTGGGGGTGGTTTCCCTTTTCCCTCTACTCACTTCCTGAGTTCATGAACTTTAAAACCTTTTGGGAAGCCATTTTAGTGGTAGATATAAAGTTTGATGATTTCTTTTCTTGGGCCATCCACTCAGCAAGTGAGCCTACGGGCACCAGGGGCTTGATCCACCAACGAGTTACGGCGAGGAGACCTGGAAGATCTGCCCACGGGGCTCTGCGTGCGCTGCCCTTGGCACGGCCGCAACTTTCGCCTCGAGACCGGCCACGAGGCAGGCGCTCGGCAAGCGACACGCGGACGCGGGCTACGTCGAAGCGGGGTCGAAGGTAAGGAATGGGAAACCAAACCGAAGAACCTCCAAATGGCTGCGGGTCAAAACCAATAGGATCCCATTTTGGTTGGTAGGTGCACCACCCATTTTAGTCTATAGTAGGGGATTGGGATGTTCACTGGGGGTACGGGCTTGGATTGTGTTTCTTTTGGGAGAAGTGGGTTTGCCTCCAACTGGGTTTGTGGTTTTTGGAGGGCAGCCTGGTTGGGAGGGGTGTAAAGGGAAGCCAAAAGCATCATCGACGCCCCATTTTCGGAGTCCCCATATTTTGTTTGACGCTATGCGGGTTTCAAACAGGCGTTTTTTTGGGGCCAGGTTGCTCCTTGGCTTGTCCCCTTTGTCATCCCCTCACTCAGGGTTTCCGAGCCAGCCATTTCCCTTTTTGGAACCTCCAAAGCGGCAGTTTGAAAGCACACCAGCAGTAAATTTGCAACTGTTGAAGGGGAAATCCAGTGACCCCTGAAAATTGCAGAGACTTCCGACTTTCTCCAGGTTCTGCCAGATGGAAGTGAACGTCCCTCGCAGCGGACCTTTCCTACGGAGCGCGTTCGTTCCGCACCGCCCAGGTTTCCAAGATGAGGGCAATGCCACGTACTGATTACTCTTGAGATCCGAAATGGGCGTTGGTTTACCTTTTCTTGTTTGAATCAAAGGCTTGACAAGTTGCTCTCAAGAAAAGACCCTCCCAACTAATTATGTGGTTCGCAATTAATTTAGGTTTACCCGACAGGCCAAGACCAAGGTAGGCTGCCTTGGTCTATCATTAAGTTGTGATGCTGGAGATGGTGACTCACATCGGGCCAGAATCTGAAGATTCCCATGTGTGTGTGTGTGTGTGTGTGTGTGTGTGTGTGTGTGTGTGTGTGTGTGTGTGTGTGTGTGTGTGTGTGTGTGTGTGTGTGTGTGTGTGTGTTGGACATCAAATTGTTTGATGGTAGCCTCTTGAGGTTGCTGGGTCATTTTTTGGTACCATCTTACGTTTGCTGCTTGATTGCACCAAAGCTGTCATTAAAAAAAGGAGCCCAGCAAAGGCCCCGAACTAAATCGATGATGCTAGTCAAGATTAAAATCCCATAGGACATGACCACGTAGGAATTGAAAAATGACCAATAGCAAACATCTGCTTGATTGCAACCAATCCGAGTTTTTGGAGTTTTGACCAGGCTGCTCCGCAGGAGCTGAGGGAGGGAGCCCTCTTCGTTCGCCTGGGTGCCGGAGATCATCTCCCATCTGTGCCTCGAATGAAATCGTGAGGTGGTCCCTGTCCGAAGTGTGTCAGTCCCTTGGGGTGGCTGTACAGGGAAGCCCAACAGGAAGCCAACCCTCTTGGTCTCGTAAAGAATACACACCCAAATGACACAAAAATCCTCGCACCGTTCCCTATGGATAAGATCCAAGGAGCTTGCTCCTTGTGCAATAAGCGATTAGAAGGCGCTACGAAGGCGCTGCACTTGCCATAGTTTCCAAGGGAGGTTGGCTCGCAATGATTTGTTGTTTAAACAAATGATGCGACCCCCAAGAGTAAGCAGCTGATTGATTGATAGGGCGCGTCTCCTTTTAGTGAGGATTCATCACTTTTGGAGAGAACTATGGATCCCGGGTCGAGACAGCAATGAACTTGTTCTGGAGAGCATCACGATTGTTTCCTTTCATATTCACAACCCAATTAATCCAACCCCCAGGGTTTGATTTTGCGCGGTTTCTTTCATATTCACCCGGTCGATCTCGAATTCGGGGACACCTCAGAACAGAGCCCGACCCCTTCAAAGACAAGGACCGGTGTGGAAACTCATGTTGGACATGAGAAAGCTTCGGATGTTAAATTGAGAAATTGCAAAGATTGCGTGTTCCATTTGAGTTCCTCACGATTTTGATCGTGCCCGCGCATGGTGCAAGGGAGCCCCCATTCGTACCACTGGAAACTCCTGGTGGGCTCTGGGACTGGGGTTCCGCCAGGATGGCCATGCACCTGGTGAGGATCCTTAGTCACCGTTATAGTGATGCCTAGGAAGGGAGCCGTGACCAGGCGAAATCCTGCACCACCTGAAACACCCTGGAATGAGTCGATTTCCCCGCAATTGCCAACGGACGGCATGGTTTCCCATGGTCTCAAAGTGGTGTGAACAGATGTCGCCATCCACAGTACGGCGTTGACATCAACAGGCTCCACGCTCCATGGCAATCGACCGAGGACGACTTCGCCTTGGAGACCTCTGTGCCGAATGCATCGTCACTGAGCATCTGGTTGGAATCGCGTGGTGAGGACCTGTTTGCCTGCCATGCCTTGAGCAAGATATAAAAATTGGTGTGTTTTTTGAAACTACCCCCTTTTTGGTGGTTCTAAAGTAAATCCAAAGGGAAAACCACCATTTGGAAGTCCGCAAAAGCAAACACCCAAATGGAGCCAAACATGTACAAGCAACCATATATAGAGGGCTCCCTCTCTTCTTTTTCAGAGGCCATTTTGTAATTAAGAGCAGCGCGCGCACTGGCTCCTTGCAGGACAGGGAGGAGGCTGCACCTGCACCGAACCAGAACTCAGACTATGTCTCAGACGAGTTTTTGTTCTGAAGCAAGCCACGCGACACCCTCGAGAAGGCCTAGAGGGATTGCAACAAATCCGTTTGAGCGCGAAGGTTAATGTGAATCACTTGTGAATGACAAGGCCAATTCGAATTGAGCTTCTTTTGGGGTGATGTGTCCCTCCTAGATGTGGGTTTGTTTCAAAATCGGACCCCCCCATCTCAAAATAGAGAGACCCCCCCGGAAAGTTGGTGGGTTTTCCTTCGGCTGCCCCCTGAAGAAATAAAGAAAAGACAGATGCCTGGGCGTTGCTTACCCGTTTGATTGCTTGCTACTTGTTGGGAGGAAGGGGGCCTTCATGTTCCTTTGCAGCTGGCAACCCGTGTTGGTCAAAAGGTCCTTTTGACAAGTTATGGTCATATGCTCAGTTGCCCAGTGTTGCCTTTTTCCTTTTTTTGAGGAAGGGTAGCCAACCAAAAAGGATGCACTTTTTTCCCATGGCCACTGGGCATCTGAGTATGGCCCAAAGTTCACTTGTCATCCGTCAGATCTGGACCTCCGAGAAGCTGGCCAGCGCTCCGAAGCTCCTGGCGTAAAATCGGATTCCTTCCGCACGCGAGGACTCTGCGCTGGGGCCCGGGGGACTTGCATGGCTCCTTGGTGTGACCAAAGTTGCTTTCTGTGGGTTTGCCTCAAATTCAGGGAGCCTTGTTTTGTTTTTGGTTGGCGTCCCTTCAACACGAACCAAGAAAGGTGGGTTCCGAGCCCAAAAACGCCCACCCATCTAGTGCCTTGAATGTTTGGCCGGGCCAAAGGGACTGCCCCGGCCTTCAGGAGAGGCTGGGCGCCGGATGGAAAGACTGTGAGTCGACTGTGAGTGAGTTAGGCTCACCTTCGAGACCAACTGCTCTCGGCTTTCCGCCCAGCTTTAGGTTCTAAGAGCCTGTGGGTTCCTTTGCAATGGAAGTTTGGCCGTGGAAATGGGGGAGAGGCGGAGAGATGGGGCAAAAAAAAGGACCGGACTGTACACGTACAACTGATGTGTTGATACTGCTGAGAGCGGCAAAGTGACTACTGAGCCTTCTGCTCAGATGGCCATCTAAATGGTTAGTAACCTCAGTTGCAAGGGTATCTTGGGGGGGGTTGGCTGGCGGTTAGCTTGCAGGCAAATCGAGAATTACGTGACACTTCATTAATCATGCCTCTTCACGCGCACTCTCCAGGTATCTTCCACACAGCGAGCTCGCATTCTGACGCGAACCTGCCGTGTCTTGTGGGAGTGTGTCGCCATATTCGCGTGAGTTGTGGGAGCGTGTCACCATATTCCTGTGACTTGTGAGAGTGTGTCACCATATTCCTGGGAGTTCACCAAACAGTTATCCTCACAAAGAATCTGAAAGGGTTTTGTTGAAAGCCCATGTTCCTCTAAGAAGAATCCTTCTTCTCAGCTTCTATGTCCATTTGGGTGTGTCTCTGTTTGAGTGTACCCAGTTTGGGGTGAGGGGACACCTGAGGAAACCAACCCTGTTTTGGGTACCAGGGGGCGAAAGCCTGGGATGCACCGGGTTGGTGTGGTTGGAACCCGGCGACTTTTGACTCGATTTCGATAGGCGCGCACGTATGGGGCTGGCCGACAAGCTTCACGAGGAGAGAGACGAGATGGCCTTGGTTTCTGTTTGTTTGACCCTGTTAGTGTTGTGATGCCGAGCTATTTTTGGGGTGTTAGACCTGTCTCTTTGCTTTGAACCGCTTCGTTTGACCCTATGTGTTTGACCCTCGTGTTTGACCCTGTTGTTGTTTCTTGTTGTTTCAGAAAATCACAGGGAAGCCGTTTAACCGGTTGCGAATGTTCCTTGTTTCAAGGGAGCCATAGGTCTAATTTGAGGTTGGCTTAGACCGCTCCGGGCCATCACGAATTCCCAAATGGTTCCCAAGCTTCGCACAAGGCATCTTGATAGGGTGTGCAGGAAGGATGCAGTCTTGACTGCTCATGTGTTGCTGGTGTTCATTGTCATGGCAACGAAGCAAATCGCATGCCTGCTGCATTCCAATGAATTCTCAGCCCGTGTCAGAAATGAGTTTGTTCCATGATAGTTATTGCTGGAAGCAACTTCCACGCAATGATCAAGGTCAGGCAAAGACAATCCTTATCAACACGTCCTGTGGGGTTTGTGTGTGTGTGTCTTTTCTGAGGGTACCCCTGGTTTGGTGTCTTTAAAGGAAGACCATTAAAAACCAAAGCAAAACCCACCATTTGCTGGGTCCCGAAAAAAAGACCGCCCCATTTCTGCAGCCCCGATCGCCAGACCATCATTACACCGCATTGAGTGAGGTCTGAAA